GCTTTTAAGAGTATGAGAACCTGGGGCCAGCAGGTGGCGTGGTGGTTAAAGGTGCTGGACTCACATGGCCAAGGTTTGTGTCCCGGGCCTGGTGACTTGATTTCTCACTTTCTCTCTCTCTTTCTCCCTCTCTGGTCAAATTAAAATAAAAGAATAAATAAATACAGTAAAATAATTCTTCTAAAAAAAAAAGGGGAATCTTGGGACAGTAGGTGGTATAGTGGTTAAGGTACTAAATTCCCAAATGGCTGACAGTGGTTTGTTTTCCAGCTGCAGCAGCTTGAAATTCACACCAGGATCCTGTGTGTGCATGTCTAAGGTCCCAGAAAGAGATTGGAAGGGAAAGGGTTATGGCATGGCCATCCCCCCTAGGGGTGATTTCTCAATTTCCCTCTCACAGTTTCTTCTCTATCTCTCTCTGGAGAGTGCATGCATCCTACAAAGAGTATGTTGGAGGGGAGAATACCCATTTGAGATCAGGTAAGGTAAAGTTAGGTAGGTAGGATGGGGCAGATGCATAAAACATTTTAGACATCAACTCAGAGAGGTTGGCCAGGCTTTGAAGACAGGTACTAGGCAATGAAAGAACAAACAGTGATGGTCTAGGAAAATCATCCTGGCCACTTGTATAGGACGAATTAAAGAGGAGAAAAAATGAGATTAAGGGAGACCAATAAACAGGTTCTTGCAGTAATCCAGGTGTGCGGTGATGAAAGCCTCAGCTAGGAAAGCGTCGCTGGCTATGGAACAGAGAGGATGGGTGGGAGAAACATTTTTGAAGAAAGAATCAATAAGATGTGGTTCCTCCTGTTTTAAGAGAGTGTGGAGCTGAAAACGGACATGTATAGAAGGAAGTGTTGATAATGCTTAAAGTCTGAAATCTACACAGAAGGAAGAAAAATGAAGCTAGTGACAGAAATAGGGAAGCTGAGAAAAGAGCTACTTCCTTGCTGACATTACAGGGAGAAGAACGCTGGAACCAGGCATCCAAGTGGACATACCTTTTTGGTAGTTGGATATAATTGATTGGCGTTAAAGAGTTAATAAAACGAAGACCAAGAGATATATTTGAAGTCAGGGACAACTCACTAGAATAAAGAGTACAGCAAGTGAGCCAGTTGGTGGTGTGGTGGTGAAGGCAGCTGGATCCCACATGGCTGACTGCACAGTTTGAATCCTGGACCCTGTGGCTTGAAAAACACTCCAGGAGTGTGTGCATGCTTGCCCCAAATCCTGAGAGAAGGGATTACAGCATGGCCATCCCCCCTCAGGGGAGGGAGTACTTTCTTGCTTTCTTCCTCTCTCTCTCTCTCTCTCTCTCTCTCTCTCTCCAGTAAGCACACACACCCTCTAGCAAATAAAAAAGAGAGAGAAAGAAAGTTTACAGCATGAGGAATTCAGGGACCAAGGATTAAGCCTCAGGAAGTAGTTATGGGGAGATGGAATGGAAAGAAACGTGAAATCAAAGTGTGATCATCAGGCCCAGCCTTGGTGATACAGACAGCAGCTTACCGAATTGCAGTGCTAGAAGCCACATGGCCAACCACAGGTCTGGATCCCAACCGGACCTGATAATATACCAGGTATGTACGTACCCAAGATCATGACAAGCTGGAGGGCTGGGAAAGGCATGACAAGACCTCACCAGGAGTGTGCACTCTCTCTCGTGAATAAAAAAATAAACTTTTTGAGAGCTAGCATGAGCAAGCAGAACCAGGTGCCATACATGTGGCCTTCTGAGCCATCATTCCTGGCCCACTTCAAGGAGTGGTTTGGCTACAGGGAAGGGCCCACCATGGAGTCCAAGAATCCAGCCTCAGCTCCTAGATGAAGATGGTAATCACAGTGACAAAGAAGATGAACAGTCCCAAGTGGTGGTCTTAAAAATGAGAGACCGGGACCAGCAGTTGGCGTAATGGCTATGTCACTGAACTCCCATGTAGTTGACTGCGGTTTGAGTCTCGTACCCAGTGGCTTAAACTCACACTGGGTGTGTGTGCATGCATGCCCAAGATCCTGATAGGAGAACGAAGGAAAAGGGATTGCGGTGTGGCCATCCCCCCAGGGGGTGATTTCTCGCTTTCTGTCTCTCTTTCTCTCTCTGTCTTTCTGGTGAGTGCACGTGCCCTATAGCAAAAACCTCTCCAAAAAAATATAAATAAGTAAAATAAAATAAATTAAATTAAAAAAAGAGAGACCTGCCAGCTGAATAAGTTATGAAAATTAACGCTGAAATAAAGACTGCCAAAGCAGATGAAGAGCCAGCTCCAGATGATGGAAGAATCAGGTATCGAAACCAGTCAGTAGTCCCTCAAATTAGAAATAGTCAAATTTGTTGAACAGCCCAAAAGAGAAGAAAACAAATTTAGATTAAATGAGTAAGCAGGACTCAGTTAAAAAGAACTCACAAGAGCAAATAAAAAACAGAAGCCTTCTTTCTTTTTTTTTTTTTGGAGAGGTTTTCACTGCAGCCAGAAAGAGAGAGACATAGAGACAGAAAGCGAGAAGTCGCCCCCCAGGGGGGATGGTCACGCCGCAATCCCTTCTCCTCCATTCTCCTCTCGGGATCTTGGGCACGCACACACACGCGCCCGGCGTGAGTTTTAAGCCACCGGGTCCGGGACACGAACCGCGGTTGACTACGTGGGAGTCCAGCGACATAGCCATTACGCTAACTGCTGGTTCCCAAGCCTTCTTTCTTTTGACAATGAAAAAAATAAATAAGTACACTTTTTAAAAAGAGAGAGGAAAATAGGCCAGCAGGTGGATGATTTCTCACTTTCCCTCTCTTTCTGTCTCTCTCTGATGAATGCACATGCCCTATGGCAAAAATTTCAGATGAGAGAGAGGATCATCAGAGAAGCAAGAGGATGAAAGGGGGAAAGCATGTCATAGGAGCCGTATGAGAAACAAGTTTCAAGGAGTGATCAACAATATCAAAGCAAACAGGACTTGAGAAAAGACCGTTGGAAAGGGGTCAGAGACATCCTTCCTTACAGATGAGCAGCCTAACCTAATCTCCCAGACCTGAGTAACAAATATTTTGTGCTAAATGTGTCGTGAACCAAGCTGATGTTCTTTCCTCACAGATGTGACAGCCTCTCTACCAGAAGACTGGGCAGGGTTTCATGGTGTCAAGGCCCTGCCGGGGAAGAGCACAGAAAATGGGCCTCGGGAGCAGCAGTTGGCATAATGGCTATGTCACTGGACTACCACATAGTTGACTGCGGTTCAAGTACCGGGATCAGTGGCTTAAACTCATGCTGGGCGTGTGTGTGTGCATGCCCAAGATCCCGAGAGGAGAATGGAGGAGAAAGGATTGCGGCATGGCCATCCCCTCTAGGGGGTGATCTCTCGCTTTCTGTTTCTTGTCTCTCTCTGTCTGGCGAGCGCATGCACCTTATAGCAAAAACCTCACCAAAAAAAAAAAAAAAAGTTTTAAATACCTCATTTCATTTGCCACGGATCTCATGTCTCCACAACACCTACCTAAATGACAAGCAGGTCAGAAAATTATGGGCTGAAAAATTAAAATTATTTGCAAACTGCCATTTTATGATTAGTTATGAGCAACACAGTCACAAATAGAGAACTCCCAGTCTACTCCAATGAGCTTCCCGCTCAAATGATTTATGATTAGTGTAGCTGGACTTGGGGTTGTGGAAGTGGGAATGAGGAACCATCTCCAGTTTTCTCCGTCCTTATCACTGTTAAATCCTGTAACTTTTTGTTTTCCCAGGTTTTGGCCATAGAGTAAGTGTGTTCACTGGAGAGACAAAGAGAGAACATAAGTGAGAAATCATCCCCCCGGAGGGTTGGCCATGCTGCAATTCTTTCTCCTCCATTTTTTCTCTCAGAATTTTGGGCATGCACACAAAACATGCACCCAGTGTCGTTTTTCAAACTGCTGAGTCTGGGGCTTGTAGGAGATCCAGTGCCTTAGCCACCCACCACCTGCTGATCCAAATGTTGTAACTTTTGTCATGTGTTTCCCTAACTTGCATGGCATTCGGGTCATATGGAAAATATGAGATCATGTTCACAAGGTCCCGGGTTTGTAGGAATAGGAAATGGACTTCATTTGAAGCATGATGGATGAGCCTTGAGCTGTCATTTTCTTTTAATAATTATTTATTTAATTTTATTATTTGTATTTTATTCTTCTTCAATTTGACAGAGAGAGAAGGAAAGTAAGAACGCAAGCTACCAGATCTGGGACTCAGACACAGTCATCCATGTGGGAGTCCAGGACTTTAACCACCATGCCACCTACAGTCACCCCCAGCCTTGAGCTGTCATTAATGGGATACTTGTTTTATCTTAACTCCATAAAACCTTTAACAGTATGAGGCAACTACCTGGGAATGAATTTAGGTAGGAGAGAGGATGTCAAGCAAATCTTCTCTGAAAGGATCTTTACTTGCCAAAAATTGTGTCAAAATAAGATTCTGTGCAGAGTGGATGGGAGCGGCTCAGACAAAAAAAGGAAAAAAAGAAACGGTTAACAGACACAGCAAGTGGGTTGTGGAAGGGCATACCACAACAGAATGAAAAAGAGGAGGTTACCAATTATTTGTATGCATATTTTTCAAAAGTAGTAGAGCAAAAATTCAAGGTACACATCCTACTATGGTTTTCTTTGTAGAAACTGGACAGGATCATATCCTTGATTTGAGTATTGCACACTGCAATCATACTTTGAAAATCTGTTTTGCATTCCACAAAGTAGAACAATTAAATTTAAATAAGAAATTATTTAAAGTTTTTTTTGTTTTTGTTTTTGTTTTTGTTTTTGTTTTTAATAAAAAATAAGACTAGGAGCAGCTGCAGGAGACTCAAAAGTATTTTAAACTTTATGTAGGGTGTCTTCAAACACAAGTCTCGAGAAAACTACGTTTCCCAGGAGGCCTCACGGGTAGTCTCTGCATGGGCTAGTTCTCTTTACCACGTGGTACTCTGGGAAATGTAGTCCTCCTCCACGACCCTGCACGTGACGCCTGCGGAGGAAGGCGAAAAGGACCGCGCTGGGAGGGGCGGGACAGGGTCGGGGAATCGAACTGTGGGCTGCCCCTTCCCACCAACTTGGTTTGTACATCTAACCCCAACGGTGTAAGGAGCCGGCGCGGGTTCAGGCGCTGACTGGAGCGGCTCAGGGGGAAGTCCCGGTGGGTGAGCCTCCCTGGCGCGTGGCGGGGTTTTTCTGCAGCCGGACGGGAGGGGGAGAAGGCGCGATCGGCCGGGGGCTCGGAGCCCGCGTCCTGCGCCCCACCCAGGCTGCGGCCCCGCGGGGAGGAAGCGCGTAGAGGTTCACAGCAAAGTTTCTTTTTTGTCTTTCCGTCAGAGCAGCCCTAGCGCGGGTGGGTGGGAATGCCTAACTTCAGCTGGAGGAGGACTCGGAGCCAAAGGGGTTAAGACCAGCGACTCCCCCTACTTCCCGCCTCCCTGAAACAAACACCCGCTAGCCATGAGCAGCCGCGACCACCTGTTCAAAGTGCTGGTGGTGGGGGACGCCGCGGTGGGCAAGACGTCGCTGGTCCAGCGATATTCCCAGGACAGCTTCAGCAAACACTACAAGTCCACGGTGGGAGGTGAGACGTCGCCCGGGCGAGGGGCGGGGGACCGACTCAGCTGGGCACCAGGTGGGGCGAGCGTCCCGGGCCTTACTTGGGTCAGGAAGTAGGTGCCCGGCGTCCTACAGGGTGTTGGATTTGCAAGTCTCGCTTGAGTTACCGCAGTTAGGTTTTCCCAGCCTGAGCGACTGCCAGGAAAGAGACAGGGCAAAGGTGTGAAGAGGAGACTTGGAGGGGAGGATGAGAAGGAGCAATTGCTGTTTATCGCGGAACTGTAACTCCAGTCTCCTCCTGCAGCCTTCAGCTGTCCAGGGCGACTCTCCAATCAGCAGTCGCTCGGTGGAGCCGCTTAGGTGCCAGTGGGGACTGTTGTCCTTAGAGATGGCTATTGAGGAACAGAAAGGTGTTTAACCTGGCTTCAGGGGGATCACCTAGGAAAGAGAACTGAGCTAAGGACTCTCAGTATTATGGGGACGTGAGTGGAATGGAGAACACAAAATCCCCGCACCAGCGCGTTAGCTACACAGGCACGCGCACTCGGGCTGATGAGCTGGATGAATTTTGCCTATTGATTATTTAAATAAAGGTAATCTAGGGGTTCTTTGAAGAGTCTGAAAGATACTACTCATCTCACCTGTCTTCTCATCCCTTTTTCCCTCAAACTGGGGAAGGGAGGGTGGAAGAGAACACCAAGCGTTAATTCATTTCTTCCCTGGGTGTAGGACTCAACTGAACTTTTTGTTTTGTTTTGTTTGTTTGTTTTGTTTTGTTTCAGAGGTAGAAATGTCTTTTTATTAATTAGAAGGTGTTTTATCTAGGAAGAGTTGGTGATGGGGAGGATAACTTAAAATGTTATCTCTGGGGGCCAGCAGGCCATGTGATGGTTAAGGCAGGGGAATCCCACATGGCTGACTTTGGGTGGGGTCCTGGACCTGGGCTTGCTTCTGACTTCCTCCCTCTCCTTCTCCTTCTCCCCCACCCCCTATTGAGTGTGTGGGCCCTATAGCAAATTAAATAATTGTAATAACTAAATTCAATTTTTAAAATTTGCCTCTATTAGAAGAACCTTACCATAGGGCATGTATGCTCCCTGGAGACAAAGCTAGAGAGGGAGAGACAGAGAGAGAGAGAAAGTAAGTGAGAAGGCATCCCCAGGGAGGATGGCCACACAGCAATCCTTATCCTCCATTTCTCCTCTCAGAATTTTGAACACACACACACCTGGTGTATTTTTCAGCCCCTGAACCAGGACTTGAACCACGCAGTCAGCCATGTGGAATCCAGCTTCCTTAAGCACCACGCCACGTGGCTTACCTATGCAAACTGTTTTTTAAGAAAAAAATTTGTACTAATGGCAATTTTGAAAATGTGTGCTGATGTTCATATGAAAGTTTTGTGTTTTTTTGTTTGTTTGTTTTTAAAAAAGCATTTACATTGCAGTTCAAACATTCTCCTTAAAAACATCCAGCAAAATTAAGGGTTTGCGGTTTCAAAGACTTTCCTGACCACTTAGCCAACTCCTAAATAATATGAGAGTGTGTGTTTCATTGATTTGATTAATAGTTTTTAGCAATTCTTTAGTTTTCTTTTAGTAAAGAACATAATGAACCCAGGCTAATTTTACTTGAGTGTTCATTCTAAATTTCCCCCTAGCTTTTATTTCTGTCATAGATGTGAAAGAATGGATTTTCAAACCTCAGAAATTGTTCTACTTCTCCCATTATCAAAAAGCATTTTCTGGGACAAGCGGATGGCATCATGGTTACATCGCTAGACTTCCACATGGCCAATTGCAGTTCGAGTCCCAGACCTGGAGGCTTGGAACTCATGCCAGGCACATATGCATGCATATCCAAAATTCCAAGAGGAAAATAGAAAAGAGATTGCAACATGGCCAGCCCCCCGGGTGACGATTTCTTGCTTTCTGTCTCTCTGTCTCTCCAGCAAGTTCACATGCCCTATAGCAAAAGTCTCTCTAAAATAAATAAATAAATAAAATCTCCCCTGGAATACCTGTACAACCTTAATTCATGGAGTCTCAGCACCTACACACTTGGTGGTAGATTCCAGAGAGCTCTTAAACTTCATGATGTACGTTTTTTTGTTTTTTGTTTTTTGTTTTTATAAATTTTGTTATAGTGCATGTACACTTGCCAGAGAGATAAAAAGCAAGAAATCAACCCCCAAGGGGTATGGCCACACCACAATCCCTTCTCCTCCATTCTCCTCTCAGAATTTCAGGCACAGGTGCACATGCACCCAGCATGAGTTTCTAGTCACTAGGTCCAGGACTCAAACTGTGGTCAGCCACATGGGAGTCCAGCACCTTAACCACTATGCCACCTGCTGGCTTCCAGACCATGTATTCTTTCCTGGAAGTTCTCTGGGACCTTTCCCACTTGTTCCATACCTGCTAGATCATTCCTAGAGCCTTGAGAAGGATAGGGAATTCTCCAGGACCTGTTTTTCTCATTTGATTAGAAACTAACAGTGAAATTAAATGTGGAAGGTTAAAAAGTGACCACACTTACCTCATTTGCTCCTCCTTCTCATTGTCCCTTCCCTGAGAAAACCCCCTAAATCTCCCAGAAATTGTGTAACCTGAGAATAAAATTGTTTTCATAATTGCTCCCACCCTCCTGTCCCCAGCCTTGATGACAAGTAGCAACAAATAAATTGGTTTGACAGGAGAGTAAAAGCAGGAGACTGCGTTAGAAAGTGAGTATGAATGATCTGCCCCACACCTAAAACCTGACTGTGGACTCATCTCAGACTACTGAGGGTTTAGAAGTAAAGTGTGGCCCTGGGGTAACCACAATTTGGTCTGAGTTTATCCCTGGATTTATTCAAGAACAGCCTCCATGTATTTTCAGTGGATTTTGCTCTGAAGGTTCTCCAGTGGTCTGACTCCGAGATGGTGCGGCTCCAGCTGTGGGATATTGCAGGTGAGCTGGGAAGGCTGGGTGAGAAGGAGGGAAGAGATGTCGATTTTACCAGCAAGCTCTCAGAGAAAAAGTGGGGCAGCAAAACCAGAAATACTTTTCTGAAACTGGAAGGATTGAGCTGCTCCGAGGACACACAAGCTGGATTGATGTAGAGCTTTCGTAGATGTTTTCTGTGGCTGTTTTACCCTGGAAAGACAGGGAGCAATCTCTGTGTGGGTGGAGGAGCTAGAAGGTAGGGGATTGTCCAGACCACAGGTGGCTGCTTCCACAGCAGAGGGAAGGTGCTCTTTTGGGTTTTCAGCTGACCTTGGTGAGAAACAAAAGCCCCAGAAAATAGAGACAATAGTAATAGCGAATCCTTATCATCTGCTAAGCATTCCTCTAAGCATTTTAAATTCACTGACTCATTCATTTTCATAGCAACTCTATCATGAAAGCTACTGCTTAAAAAAAAAAATGGGGCCAGCAGATGGTGTAGTGGTTACATTGCTGGACACCCACCCCTACTCCCAAATAAGACCACAGTTCGAGTCTCAGACCCAGTGGCTTGAAACTCATGCCAGGCTCGTGTGCATGCTTGCCCAAGATCCCAGGAAGAGAATGGAGAAGGGATTGCAGCATGACCATCCCCCCTGGAGGGGGTTTCTCACTTTCCCTCTCACTGTCTCTGTCTGTCTGTCTCTTCCTCCCTTCCTCCCATCCCGTGAGCACACACATCCTAAGGCAAAAACCTCTACCAAAAAAGAAATAGTTGACTTATTTCTTCCTTGAGGCAGAGAGAGAGAGAGAGAGAAAGGCGTCAAGACAGCATTTCCATCAGCATCTTGGCACTGATCCACTCCAGCCTCAGCCTGCTCTGGATCATGGACACACGCTGCCCAATGTACTTGGGGGGATGGGGAGAAGGGATTCTTTGGAGGAGAACTGGAACCTTTGCATGTGGGTCCACCTTACAGAGTGCCCCATTTTACTGCTGCACCAGCAAGTCCCTAAAAACTACTGCTTTTTTTCTTGCTATAGGGTGCTTGCACTTGCCAGAGAGAAACAGACAGAGGGAAAGGGAGAAATTACACCCCCAGGGGCAACAGCCACACCACAGTCCCTTGGGCATGCGTGCCTGTGCATTGGGTGTGTTCTCAAACTGCCAGGTCTGGGACTCGAATCACACAGTCCCCCACATGGGATCCAGTGCCTTAATCTCCATGCCACCTGTTGGCCTAAAAAGCTACTGATTTTAATCTTCCCTTTATGGGTGAGAAATCTGAAGCATTGAGAGCTTGGTTTGCCCAAAGTCATAAAAAGTAAGTGGCAGAGCAGGGGTTTCCACTTGGGCATTCTGGGTGTAGTATCTGCACTGGAGATAATTGGGCTTAAAAGTCCCTTTATGTGGCCAGCTGGCGGCATGGTGGTTAAGGCAGCTGGATCCCACATGGAAGACTATGCAGTTCGAGCCCTGGACCTAGTAACTTGAAACACAGGCGGAGTGTGTGTGCATGCATGCCCAAACTCCCGAAAGAAGAATAGAGAAGGAATTGTGGCATGGCCGTTACCCCTGAGAGTTGTTTTCTCACTTTCCCTCTCTGTCTCTCACCAGCAAGCACATGCACCCTCTGGCAATTTTTTAAAAATCCCTTTATAGGATAATTAGGAAACCAAGAGGAGAAAGTGAGTGATTCCCTCTTGTACAACGAAGGGAGAGAGTGCAGAGTGTCAGAGAGGGTGCCAAGACTGGGTCTTGGGATGGCTTCCTCCAGAACACTCCCCTTCCTCCCCAGGTCAGGAGCGCTTCACCTCTATGACACGATTATACTACCGGGATGCCTCTGCCTGTGTTATTATGTTTGATGTTACCAATGCCACTACCTTCAGCAACAGCCAGAGATGGAAACAGGACCTGGACAGCAAGCTCACACTGCCCAATGGAGAGCCCGTGCCCTGCCTGCTCTTGGCCAATAAGGTATGTGGTCATTCCTAAGAAAACGGCCTATGGCCTCTCAAAATGCTCTGAAATCCCCATGGTGGTAAAACCACACGGGAAGGTCCCAGGTTTGCATCCTGAGGCTTCACTATACACACTGAGTGTATGTATACAAATGTGTTCCAATCCTGGCTGGCTAAAGCTGAGGGTGTATTGTGAAGGCCCTGTTAAGGTTGCTTCTCTCTCTCTCTCTTTCTCAGAAGAAATAAGTAAATAAATTGAAAGAATGAATAGAGGGACCAATGGATGGCCTAATGATTATGTCAGTGGACTCCCACATAGTTGACTGTGGTTCAAGTCCTGGACCTGGCAGCTTAAAACTCACACCAGGTGCATAAATCCAGAAAGGAAAATGGAGGAGAAGGGATTGTAGCATGGCCATCTCCACTCCCAAGTGGGGGTGATTTCTTGCTTTCTGTGTCTCTCTCTCTCTGGCAAGCACATATGCCCTATAGAAAAAAAGCTCTTTTAAAAAAAAAAGGGAACCAGCAGTTAGCATAATGGCTATGTCGCTGGACTCCCACGTAGTCAACCCCGACCTGGTGGCTTAAAACTCAGGCAGGGCACGTGTGCGTGCGTGCCCAAGATCCCGAGAGGAGAATGGAGGAGAAGGGATTGCAGCATGACCATCCCCCCAGGGGGTGATTTCTCGCTTTCTGTCTCTCTGTCTGGCGAGCGCACACTCCCTATAGCAAAAACCTCTCCAAAAAAAAAAAAAGAATGGATAAATAAAATGCTCTCTGATTCTGGGAATCTGTTTCCCCTTCTCAAATTGATAGAAGCATCCTTTCAAAAGATACTGACAGTGAGACTTTCTTGGAGAAGAATGTTGACTTTAGATGCTGCCAGCCATGGTAGAGAGATGTTTTTAAGTCCACAGGTATCTGAGCCATGTTTGTCTTCCTCGGAAGTTGGTGGTGTTACCTTTTATTTATTCTCTTCACTAGTGTGATCTTTCCCCTTGGGCTGTGAGCCGGGACCAGATTGACCGGTTCAGTAAAGAGAACGGTTTCACAGGTTGGACAGAAACATCAGTCAAGGAGAACAAAAATATTAATGAAGCCATGAGGTGAGTAGCTCGTGCTGTTCAGGGACAGGTGTGCAAATTTACCCATCTTCCTCTGCGGCCCCTGGACCCTCTTTCTTCTTTCTGAGTGTGCAAGAACAGCCTGAGCCATTGGAATGCCAGCTCCTGAAGGTCAGGGTAAACATCTCTCCTGAGATGATTGGAGACAAAGAGGCATTTACATCTTGTGGCTTTACTGAATTGCTGCCTTGTAATAAGACAGTATCTGGCATTTATTCTCTTCTTCTGTTTACCTTCTCAGCCTTATTTTGTTTTGTTTTTTAGAGTCCTCATTGAAAAGATGATGAGCAATTCCAGAGAAGATGTCCTGTCTTTGTCCACCCAAGGAAACTACATCAATCTACAAACCAAGTCTTCCTCCAACTGGGCCTGCTGCTAGTAGCCTTTGGCTTGTCCTTCATTACAGTTCATTCGGAGGTCTTTTCATCTCTTTCTTTTGGTGGCCCACCCAGCAATTTTATTAAGTACTTTTGAACTGTCTCCTGTGGACTGTCCAATAATGAGATCCATTGTCACTTAGAAAAGACACCCGGGCCTCATGTGCATTTCTGCATCTCCTGATGTTGGCTCCTGGCACTGGTGGCCCTGTTAGTGCCTTCTATTTAAGAGAGATCACCTCATTTCTCAATTTGTGGTCTGGAAATTTGTAGGAAGAATTAGAAATCAGCATCTGTGTTTTAAAGATCATAAGTCTCACCTATATTTGAGCTTATTTTTTCTTTTGATGTACATTGATATTAGACTTCACATTGAGAGGAAAATGAGATGGAATGACATTCCCCAAATTTCTGGTAAGCTTCAGATTCTTTGTCTTGGATCTGGAATTTATGCAGCTGATTTTGAGATGCAGAAGTTGGGAGTCTGGACATCTATGGGTTTTGGGCTATTGTGGTGACCTAGAAGTCATTATTACTGAAATGTCTAAAGCCATAATTAGCTCTTTTATCTTGGCTTCAAGAATAGCCAAGCTTTTAACTACCCGTTTTACAGTGTGAGAGCATTTCTTTTCACAAAGGACTTAATCCTCACATTCCACCGTTGCAGTGTCTCCCTACCAGTCAAGTGGGGACATGGTTTGCAGATTTCTGGGCAAAAGTCTACAAGTGATGTCAGTTGGCCAGGGTGCTCTGGAATAAGTGTTGCTCACAGCTTTGGGGATCTGAATGGAAGAAGTTAACAGAACAGAATCCTGCTGAGTAATTTTATGAGCACTGTGGGCGGTGAGCACTTAATAGCCAGAGGAAATAAATATTATGTACAGGCCTTGGACTGAGGGTGGAGTGAATAGACAGAAAATCATTAGGTAATTTAAATGCTAAGTTGGGTAAGATTTTTAGTATTGAGTCACTTCTAGACAGTTCAATTTGTTAAATCTCTCAAGGATAGTGATTTCTAACCTATCCAAAGTTAAGACTATTAACAAACTCAGAGGCCTGAAGTGCTTTAATAGACTTTAAGTGTCCTAAGTCGGTGGTTGCCAAAGCTGACTGATCAGAATCAGCCAGAAGTTTGTTTAAAAATGTTTAAGAGCTGGGTTAGTTCCTGGCCTGGTGGTTAAGGTAACTGGATCCCACATGCCAACCTGCAGTTCAAGTTCCAGATTTGGCAGGTTGAGAAACACACTAGGTACATGTGCATATGTGCCTAAAATCTCAACAGGATGGAGAAATGGAAGAGAAGAGATTGTAGCATGATCACTCCCCCATGGGGTGCTTTCTTCCTCTCTCTCTGTTTGTCTCTGGCAAATGGACATGCCTTCTGGCAAAAATTTTAAAATAAATAAATTAATTTTTTTTAAAAAAATGTAAGGGCCAGCTCCTTAGCCTAGTGGTTAAGGGAGCAGGGTTCCATATAATCAACTCTAGTTCAGAACTTGGCCCCACAGGTTTGAAAATAAACATGTTTGCATACGCCAAATCCTAACAGGATTGAGAAATGGAAGTGAAGGAATTGCAGAGTGACCATGCCCCATGGGGGGTGATGAGGGTGGTGCTTCCTCCTTCTCTGTCTCTCTCAGTAGAGTGCACGTGCCTTCTAGCAATTTTAAAAATAAATTTATTTTTAAGATTTGGAGATCCTGGGGCCAGCAGTTAGTGTAATGGCTATGTCTCTGGATTCCCATGTAGTCGACCACGGTTCGCATCCCAGACCCAGTGGCTTGAAACTCACGCCGGGCGCGTGTGTGTGCGTGCCCAAGATCCCAAGATGAGAATGGAGGAGAAGGGATTGTGGTGTGGCCATACCCCCTGGGGGGGGTGATTTCTTGCTTTCTGTCTCTCTGTCTCTCTCTGGCTGGCGAGCACACGCACCCTATGGCATAAACCTCTCAAAAAAAAAAAAAAAAAGATTTGGAGATCCCAATCTCAAACCTACTCCATCAAAATTTTCAGGGATAAAGCCTGGGAATATGTTGTTTTCAGAGCTTCTCAGGTGATCCTAATCAGCCTCGTTTGGAAACCATTGCTAGTGAGACTACAGAGACCTGGGCCTTTCCTGTTCGAATGACCTAGGACTTCTGCATGCCCTGTTAGCTCTCCTGGTGATCCTGATACACACCAGGCTTTGCAAACCACTGTCCTAAGGAAGAGGTCAGAGGCCAACTATCAGAAAGTGAAGGAAGACTTGGGGTCAGCAGGTGTTGTGTTGGTTAAGGTGTTGGACTCCCATATGGTTGACCACGGTTCAAGTCCTGGACCTGGTGACTTGCTTTCTTGCTTTCTTTCTCTTTCTCTCTCTGCCTCTCTGGTGAGTGCATATGCCCTGTAGCAAAATTTAAAAATTAAAAAAAAAAAACTAATAATAAATACAATTAAATAAATAATAATAAAAAAAAAGAAAGTGAAGGAGGACAAAGCCTTCGGTGATTTGATACTAGTTTTAGAGTTTGTTTAATGCCAGTTGTTATAACTTGCAAAATCCCTTTTGTGTTACCATTTTCAGGTAGAATTTTTATTACAACGTTTCTGTAGATAATAGTGGAGTAACATACTCCATTTATATGAAGATAAAATTGATTTTGTTTTTCACTCACTAGCTTGAGCCTTCTAAAATCACAAATAAATGGGAGTAAGTCTTGAGTTCATGGTTGTCATTGGCCTTTAATATATATTTGTTGAAGTGCTATTTTATACTGATGGTTTGAGAGTATTATAAAAATAGAGTTTATTTCTTAAATAATAGATTTTAAATTAAAGTAAGAATTATTCTTCTTATCTCTTAATTTGCCAGTTCTTAGATCTCCGTGGCTATTATCAAGTCAGTACTTGATGTAACCTCCCAAATGCTGCTTGGAAACGCGACCCCTTTAATAAGTGGTATATGTGTGCCAGGTGGTTAAGGGAGCTAGATTCCACAAGGCCAACTGCACAATTCGAGTCCTGGACCAGGAAGCTTGAGAAACACACTGAGCATGTGTGTGCATGCTCAAAATTCTGGAAGGAGGGAGAGAGGGGGAAGAAGGGATGATGCAGTGACCATGCCCATGGAAGTGCTTTCTTCCTCTTTGTTTCTTTCTCTCTCTGGTAAGTGCATATACCCTCTGGCAAACACATTTTTTGAAGGAATATGCTTTCTTTTCCCATTTGCTGACTCAGAATTTACCTGCCTTTTCAAGTATTGCTAGAGGCAGGCCTAACAACTCTTCTGAATTTTCTCTCCCAATTGGTGAGACATAAACTTGAAACTACTTAAAGAAAAAAATTGAAATATAGTATAATTCCTCTCTATGCCCCACCCATAAAGAAAAGGAAAGCAATGAAGATGAGGAAGGCAATGGGCCACTCCCTGGAGCAGCGATAATGCTTTACTCAAGAGAAGTTGATTCCACATGGCACCCACTGTTCAAATCCCTAGTGAGCCTGAAACACACCAGACATGCACGCGAATGCCCAAGATCCAACAGCCTGGAACACTGGAGAAGGAGGATCCTGCCATGACCAGACCCTGTGGAGGGTGCTCATCCCACTCTCCTCTTCCTCTCTGTCTTGTGCACACACACACACACACATGCTCTGTCGTGAACTAAGAAAAAATGAGGAAGAAGACAATATTTACATTGATGGGAATATGATGACACTACGACTGCCAAGTCCTAGTGTTTGGGTGCTTTGGTAAAACTGTATGAAACAGCTATTGTAGCTCCTCCCTAGAGATGTTTCTGTGTTTGGTAAAAGATGCCCCTTCAACCAAACCACTTAGCTTAAAAATTCTGTACAGGGTGTTCTGAGAAACCCAAGTAAGGGCTGAGAACAGAGATGTGGTTGGTGACTGCCCTGGCTTTTTTCTTTAACCAAATAAGCAAGGAAAATGGATCATAGGTCAGAGAAGGCCCTTTAGCAGTAATGATTTGCTCCTCTGTCACCACTAATGAGCCAAAATTATGCCAAGATGATTTCCCTAATTCACTTTCCCTAGTGATTGCCAAGGCATAATTGCGTTCCTCATTTTTTCTTATCTCCAGAATTAACTTTTTTCATTAGATGGTTTGTCCTTTGTCGTTAGGGCACTGTCCCATCTCACATAAGGCTGTTTTTGCCTGTCTTTGTCCTTTTACAGTCGGTGGCCTGCATATGATAGGATTTAAGGCCATGATTAGAAGATGTAGGAATCTCTACGGAACTCTCAACTCTAGGACCAAGTTGCTCAAGGGAACCAGCCTTAGTGCCCTTCTTGCTCTCCGTCCCTCTCCATTTGCTGTGTATAGGAAGCTGTAGGTACTTTTTTTCTTTTTCTTTTTCTTTTTTTTTTTTTTGATAGAGGGATTTTTCTTTTTTTTTTTTTTTTTTTTTTTTGGGGGTTTTTTTTTTTTTTTTTTTTTTTTTTTTTTGATAGAGGGATTTTTGCTATAGGGTGTATGCACTTGCCAGAGAGACAGGAAGCAAGAAATCACCCCCCTAAGGGGTGATGGCCATGCCACAATCCTTTCTCCTCTATTCTCCTCTCAGGATCTTGGGCACACATGCCCACATGCCTGGTATGAGTTTTAGGCCGCTGGGTCTAGAACTCAAACCATGGTCAACTACGTGGTAGTCCAGTGATGCAACCATTACGCCATCTGCTGGTCCCCATGGGTACTGTTTTAATATCTTTTATCCACACTCAGATTTAACTTTTTAAAGTTTGTTTTTGTTTATTCCTTGAGAAAGAGAGAGGCACCCCCAACAAGGTCTTCATGCTATGGACTCCTCCCACCCTCTGCCAGCACGTATTATAGGCACGCATGTGTTTGCCCAGCATGTACAGGGAGACCTTGGGACACACACCGACACCTTCCCACGGGGGTCCAGTGTTGAGAGCACTATCTTACTGCAGCACCACCAGGGCCAGCCCTCAGGTTTAATTTGATTCACGTCCAACAAAGTCCATCTGACTAAGGACTAATTACATGTTCATGAAAATAAAGAGGGAAAAGCAAATAGGAAGAAGAAAAGATAGAGGTTTTAGGATTTACCGTGATGTGAGCCCAGTAGCATTAGATATCAATATTTGATTTTATACAGAGCTCATCCCCCAGCCCTGTGAGCTGCATTTGCTTCTGACACTGTCTTTAAAATAATAAAGCAAACAGTTCTTCCCATTTTATGTTTAAGGGAACAACTGTGTCAGGATTTGACTGACTGAAAGGCAGCCGGTTGAATATGTAATGAAGCCAAGACATAACTGCAAGTCTTCTAATTCCCCGTCTCCATTCTGTCATTTTGGTTTCTGGGAAACATTTGGCCTGGAAAACCCAATTTAGAAAATAAACCTAGACATTTAGAGAAACAGAACTGGGCTCTTGGAGTTTGTAACTCTTGGTTTGTGTTAAGTAGCTTTTGAGAACATGTTCGTGTGCAGAATAGGGACATGCATGTAATTAAATGGGGGGCCACATTAAGCGCAATTGGAAGAGCATACAGTGCAGGCATGTCCTAAGATGTTTCGTCGACCACTTCAATTTACCAGGATATGCCACCCAAATGCAGTGACTGTATTTAATTTGGAATGTCAGCTTTCATGTTTGCAAGAACAGGAATTTTAACAGTCATTCCACTTTCTGTTGCTGCCAATAGCCAATGACAATCTGGGTGATTGCTTTCAGTCAAGTGCTCTCCTTCGCATTTCCCATGGGTTATTTTTATTTTCACAGGGACCCTCTGAGACAAATGAGGAAACTGAGGCACAAAAATGTAAGACTTTGCTCAAGATTAAATAGCTAGCTGGTGACAAACTGATTTTTAACCCTAGAAACAGGGCTGTTTCCAATACTGCCTCCCATTTTTGTATGTGTGTGTTTTGGTGATGGTATCCTTGAGGCTTTCCCCTTTAACAAGTCTTCAGTCTGGTGGGAACAGAGTAGGTTATTAAATGGGCACATACATTTTCTAATACCTTTATAATTAAGGATGAAAAAATCTACTTAGTAAGGAAAATGAAGAAGACAAATCCAAGGCCAACCCCATGGCCTTGTGGTAAAAGAAACTGGATCCTGGGACCGGCAGGTGGTGTGGTGGTTAAGGTACTGGATTCCCACATGGCTGACTATGGTTCATGTCCTGAACCTGTCAGCTTACTTTCTCACTTTCTCTTTTTCTCTCTCTCTTTCTTGCGTGAGCACACATGCCCTGTAGCAAATTTTAAAATAATAATAATGATAAATAAAATTAAGTCACTAATTCTTTAAAATTAAAAACAAGAAGCTGGATCCCACCTGGCTGACCATGTGAGCTGGTTGAATCCCAGCCCCGGTTACTTGAAAAACATGCAGGGTGTGTGTGCATGTCCAAAATCCTGACAGGATGGACAAATGGAGAAGAAGGGATTTTGTTGTGATTACACCCATTGGGGGTGCCTTTCTCCCTCTCCCTCTCTGTCTCTCTCTAGAAAGCAAATGCACCCCTTAATAATTAAAAACAGAAGAAGAAATATGGAAACCATCCACACACAACCTAAATGAAACCTCTACTTACCTCTTAATAAATTTGCTTTGGGACCAGCAGTTGGTGTAATGGCTATGTTGCTGGACTCCCGTGTAGTTGACCGTGGTTTGAATCCCGGACCCAGTGGCTTAAACTCATGCCAGGCGCATGTGCGTGCATGCCCAAGATCCCGAGAGGAGAATGGAAGAGAAGGGATTGCAGCATGGCCATTCCCCCCTTGGGGGTGATTTCTCACTTTCTGTCTCTCTGTCTATCTCTGTCTGGCAAGCGCATGTGCCCTATAACAAAAACCTCTCCTAAAAATAAATAAATACATAAATACATACATACATACATTTGCTTTAGATCAGTTTTTTAATGAAATGTTTTACATAACTGTATTCATATTTAAACAAATATTTTTGAGAGAGAGATTTTTGCTATAGGGCATGTGCGAATGCACACTGGAGAGACAGCGAGAGCTGGAGAGACAAAGTGAGAAATCACCTCCCAGAGGGGATGACCACACTGCAATGCCTTCTCCATTCTTCTCCTCTCAGGATTTTGGGCACGTATGCATGCACACCTGGATGAGTTTTAAACCATTGGATCCAGGACTTGAACCGTGGTCAACTACGTGGGAGTCTAGCGACATAACCATTCTGCCATCTGCTGGTCCCCTAAACAAATATTTTTTTCAAGCCTCTGGGGCCTATATTCACACCTGTAGTATCTGGCTGTTTTAACCAGCAGGCCATGGAGCTGACCAGAAATAAAACATTTGTGATTATACAACTTTTGTGTATCCAGTATTGCACTAGGATTTGTAGGGAATAGAAACCTATGTTTTAGAAGTTCAAAGGAGGAGATTGAGAAAATTCTTGAGGGCCAGCAGATAGCATGGAGGTTAAGGCAGCTGGATTTCACAACATAGCCAACTATGCAGTTTGAGTCCCAGACCCAGTGGCTTTAAAATCATGCCAAGTATATGTGCATGGGTGCCCAGGGTCCTGAGAAGAGAATGGAGGACAAGGGATTGAGGCATGAGCATCCCCCCTGGGAGATGTTTCCCCCTCTCTCTGGCAAGAGCACATGCCCTATAGACAAAATAATTAATAATAATAAGAGTAAATTCTCGAAGTAGGATTTGCACTGGATAAAAATTGAGAAAGAGATGGGGTCAAATTTCAGATTGGGAGAAAAAGGAATGTAGCTCTATTATGCAGGTTTAGGAAGTTGCTAGTAGACCAAAGGGTTTATGTATAGAGCAGTGGGAAGTAAGGTTAGAACGACTATTGGTATATTTTCTAGGTCATTAGCCAGTAGTGGTGTACCTACTATGTGCTGTATACTCCACTAGGTACTTGGGATACAGGGCTGGAGAAGAGAAGGTTCCTGCCCAAGAAGGGCAGTCCAGAAAGCAGATAGAATATTAAAACTGTATCTGAAGGAATGCCAAGTCTTTACTCTTACAGTGATGGAAGACAAGGAGGGAGATCATGAAAAGCCTTGCAAAAGAGCATTCAAGCTGGATAAGAGTTTATCAGCTGGAAGACTGCCAAAGGAAATGCATTTTAGAGGGACAAGATAAAGTGAACAAAGGCATGGGAACATGCAATGTACAGCAGCGGCGCTCAGAGAATCGCGGATGTTCCTTATAATCAGATCAGATAGGGGTAGGACTGTAGGTTATCTGTTTGTTTGGACTGCTGTAACAAAATACTTTAGGTAATTTATAAACAACAGAAAAAAGTGTTTATTCATTTATTTCTTCCGAGAGAGAGAGGCACCCCCAATCATCTTCATTCTGTGATCCACCCCTAGCTTTAGCCAGACACACATGTGTCTCACGTAGTCAGGGTCTCTAGCCTTAAACCTGGAACTTTCCCATATGGGTCAGCCTCACAGAGCATTATGTAACTATTGTGTAACAGTCCAGCCCCCAAACACAGAAATGGAGTGCTAGCAGTTCTGGAGGCTAGGAAGTCCAAGATCAAAACAACCAGCAGATTCGATATCCAGTGAGGGCTCTCTGCCTCCTGGATGGCACCCTCTTTTTTTTTTTCAAATTTCAGATTGGGAGAAAAAGGAATGTAGCTCTATTATGCAGGTTTAGGAAGTTGCTAGTAGACCAAAGGGTTTATGTATAGAGCAGTGGGAAGTAAGGTTAGAACGACTATTGGTATATTTTCTAGGTCATTAGCCAGTAGTGGTGTACCTACTATGTGCTGTATACTCCACTAGGTACTTGGGATACAGGGCTGGAGAAGAGAAGGTTCCTGCCCAAGAAGGGCAGTCCAGAAAGCAGATAGAATATTAAAACTGTATCTGAAGGAATGCCAAGTCTTTACTCTTACAGTGATGGAAGACAAGGAGGGAGATCATGAAAAGCCTTGCAAAAGAGCATTCAAGCTGGATAAGAGTTTATCAGCTGGAAGACTGCCAAAGGAAATGCATTTTAGAGGGACAAGATAAAGTGAACAAAGGCATGGGAACATGCAATGTACAGCAGCGGCGCTCAGAGAATCGCGGATGTTCCTTATAATCAGATCAGATAGGGGTAGGACTGTAGGTTATCTGTTTGTTTGGACTGCTGTAACAAAATACTTTAGGTAATTTATAAACAACAGAAAAAAGTGTTTATTCATTTATTTCTTCCGAGAGTTAGAGGCACCCCCAATCATCTTCATTCTGTGATCCACCCCTAGCTTTAGCCAGACACACATGTGTCTCACGTAGTCAGGGTCTCTAGCCTTAAACCTGGAACTTTCCCATATGGGTCAGCCTCACAGAGCATTATGTAACTATTGTGTAACAGTCCAGCCCCCAAACACAGAAATGGAGTGCTAGCAGTTCTGGAGGCTAGGAAGTCCAAGATCAAAACAACCAGCAGATTCGATATCCAGTGAGGGCTCTCTGCCTCCTGGATGGCACCCTCTTTTTTTTTTTTGGAGAGGCTTTCGCTATAGGGCGCGTGCGCTCGCCAGACAGACAGAGACATAGAGACAGAAAGCGAGAAATCACCCCCCCAGGGGGGGATGGTCACGCCGCAATCCCTTCTCCTCCATTCTCCTCCCGGGATCTTGGGCATGCACGCACACGCGCCCGGCGTGAGATTTAAGCCACCGGGTCCAAGACGCGAACCACTGTCGACTACATGGGAGTCCAGCGACATAGCCATTACGCTAACTGCTGGTTCCCGCACCCTTTTTTTTTTAAATGCACTAATCCCACTAGTGAAAGCTCCACCCCCCATGATCTGTCACTTTATGAAGGCCCCATCTCTTAATACCAACATATTGGGGATTAGATTTTAACACATGAATTTTTGGAGGAACTCAAACATTCAGATCATAACAAGGGTAAAAGGGGGAAAATTAGGTGAGAGGTAAGATCAATCAAGAAGAGCTCTGTGTGCCCTGCTGGAGCATTTGGACTTCGTCTTATAGTAGAGAACTGTTGAAGGACAGTTTTTTCTGTTTTTGTTTTGTTTTTATCTTCTTTTTCTTATTGAAAAATACATAAGCATTTTTATTTCACTTTAAATGTCTTCAAAAACACAGATTTTTTATCTTATAGTTCTGGGGGGCAAAATTCCAACATGAGTCTCACTGCACTAAAATCCAGATGCTGGCAGGACTGCATTCCTCTAAGGTGGCTTTTATGGGGAAGAATCATTCTGCTTCTAGAGGCTGCTCACATTCCTTGGCTCATGGCTGCTTTTCTTCATCCTCAAAGCCAGCAATAACCTGTCAAGTTTTTTCACATCTCATCACTGTGACTTTTTTTGCCTCCCGCTTCTACTTGTAAAGACTTGTGATTACATGGGGCCCACACAATAAAAGTTAATTTCCCCATTTAAGATCAGCTGATTATCCCCCCTCCCCCCAACTCTCTCTCTCCCTCTGTCCCTGTCTGGTCAAATTAAAATTTAAAAAAGAATTTGGAAAGCAAAATTAAAGATCAGCTGATTAGCAACTTTACTCTTTCCTTCTATATTCACAGATTCCAGAGACTGGGACATGGGCATTTTCCAGGGGTCATTATTGTACCTGTCACAGGTGGGAAAATTAGCAAGAGGGTTAAGGAACTTGCCCAGGATCAAACAGCTATTTGCTAATAGGGCCAAGAATAGAGCCAGCAGATGGTGTGGAGATTAAAGCAGCTGGATTCCACATGGCTAGCTGCTCAGTTTGAGACCTGGGTCCAGAGGCTTGAAAAATAAACTGTGCAGGGCTGGCAGGTGGTATGGTGGTTAAGGGCGCTGGACTCCCACATGGCTGACCACAGTCCACGTCCCGAGCATAGTGGCTTGCTTTCTCACTTTCTCTCTCTCTCTCTCTGGTCAAATTGGATAATAATAATAATAAAGTTAAATAAAATAATTCTTTAAAAAAAGAAAAAGAAAAAATACACCATGCACATGTGCATGCGTGCTCAAAATCCCAAGAGGAGAACAGAAGAGAAAGGATTGCACCATGGCCATTCCCTGGAGGGTGATTTCTCACTTTCTCTCTCTCTCTGTCTCTCTCTGATGAGCACACATGCCCTATAGCAAAACTTTAAAAAAGAATAAACATCATATTTTTACTTCAAATGTAGACATTTTTTAAAATGAGATTGAATTTTCCTGTAATTTCATCTCTGAAAGATAATTTGATTAAGAATTTGAATATTTTTGCAGACTGTTCTCTGAAGAGACAATCCCAGCTGTGAGTCTCTCCTCTTTAAGAAAAAAAAAAAAGAAGAAGAAGAAGGAAAGAAAGAACAGCAATGGTGTAGCGATTATGTTGCTGGATTCCCACATGGCCAACCGTGGTTCAAGTCTCGGACCCAGTGGCTTGAATAAGCACACCAGAGACCAGCAGTTAGCGTAATGGCTATGTTGCTGGACTCCCATGTAGTCGACCGTGGTTCGAGTCCCGGACCCGGTGGCTTAAACTGACGCCGGGCACATGTGTCTGCATGTTCAAGATCCTGGGAGGTGAATAGAGGAGAAACGATTGCAGCATGGCCATTTCCCCCTGAGGGATGATTTCTCACATTGCCCCTCGCTGTCTCTCTCTGTCTCTCTCTGTATTTCCTGCGATCACACGTGCCCTATAGCAAAAACCTCTCAAAAAAAAAAGAAAGAAAAAAGGAAGAAAGAAAAAAAAAATCACACCAGGCTCGTCTGTCTGCATGTTCAAGATCCTGGGAGGTGAATAGAGGAGAAACGATTGCAGCATGGCCATTTCCCCCTGAGGGATGATTTCTCACATTGCCCCTCGCTGTCTCTCTCTGTCTCTCTCCCCCTGGCAAGAGCACATGCTCTAAGACAAAAACCTCCTAAGAAAAAAGAAAGAATAAAGAAAGAAAACAAGAACAGACTCAATATGATTTTCTGCAATTTGTTTTTTCTTTTTAATGTATCTAGTTTATCTTCCATGTGAGAACATACAATTCTACCTCGTTCTGTTTAATTGCTGAATAGGATTATATGGATGTATTATAATTTATGTAACCAATTATCTATTAATGGATATTTTATGTATTCCTTTTCTTATATTACAAATATTCCTTCATGTATTTATAAATTTATGTAAAATTTTATTTAGGAACTCTTATGCATGCTCAGAGTATAAACACTTTGCTTAAATATAGTACTAAATTTCCCTCCAGAATATCTGTAACTATATATACTCCCATTGAGAGAAGCTGAGAGTCCAGTTTTTCCTATTTTTTTTTTTGCCACAGGGCATGTGCACTTTCCTGGAGAGAGACAGAAGAGGTGGGAGGTGAGTGTGAGAAAGTAACCCCCGTTGGGATTAGTCACACTACAATCCCTTATCTTCCATTTCTCCCACTTTTCTGGATTTTTTTTTTTTGGAGAGTTTTTTTGTTTTGTTTTGTTTTGTTGTTGTTGTTGTTGTTGTTGTTGTTGCTATAGGGCGCCTGCGCTGGCCAGAAAGACAGAGAACAACAGAGAAACGGAAAGCAAGAAATCACCCCCCAGGGGGGATGGTCATGCCGCAATCCCTTTTCCTCCATTCTCCTCTCAGGATCTTGGGCACGCACACAACACTGGCGTGAGTTTTAAGCCACCAGGTCCAGGACTTGAACCACGGTCAATCAGCTTCATGGTAGTCCAGGCACATAGCCATTACGCCAACTGCTGGTCCCTCATCTTTCTGGATTTTTGTCATGCATTCACACGTTCCTGGTGTGCTTTTCAAGCCACAGGGTCTGGGACTCAAACCAAACAGTCATTCATGTGGGATACAGCTACCTTAACCATTAATGGGCTGGCCCTCCCTATATACTTTTTTTTTTTTTTTTTTTAGAGAGGTTTTCGCTATAGGGCGCCTGCGCTCACCAGACAGACAGAGAGAGACATAGAGACAGAAAGCGAGAAATCACCCTCCGGGGGGATGGTCACGCCGCAACCCCTTCTCCTCCATTCTCCTCTCGGGATCTTGGGCACGCACGCACACGCACCCAGCATGAGTTTTAAGCCACCGGGTCCGGGACGCAAACCGCGGTCGACTACGTGGGAGTCTAGCGACATAGCCATTACGCTAACTGCTGGTTCCAAGCCCTTCCTATATTCTTAATGAGGCAGTATTTTGTTTTTTGTTTTTGGTTTTTGTTTTTGGAAAGACTTCTGCTGTAGGGCACATGCGCTCACCAGAGATACAGAGAAAGACAGAGAGACAGAAAAGGAAAAATCAACCCCAGGAGGGATGGCCACACTTCAGTTCCTTTTCTTCCATTCTCTCCTCTCAGGATTTTAGGCATGCACACATGCCTGGTGAGAGTTTCAAGCCTCCAGGTCTGGGACTCAAGCATTAATCAATGGGACTCCAGCAACATAACCATTACGCCATCTGCTGGTCCCATTAATGAGACAATTTTTAACTTTTGCCTATCTGAAAGCAAAGATCTTATTTAATTATTTTCTTTTTCTTTTGTTATTATAAGTGAGCATTTCTCTTTTTTTTTTTTTTTATTAAGTTTTTGCTATAGGGTGTGTGCTCGCTAAGAGAGAGCAAGCAAGAGAGAGGGAGAGAGAAAATGGGAAATCAACCCCTGGGGAAATGGTCATCTTCTCCTCTCTTCTTCTCTTGGGATTTTGGCACACATACACACAGTACCTGGGGTGATTTTTCAAGCAGCCAGGTCTGGGACTCAAGCCACAAAGTCGGCCATGTGGGATTCAGCCACCTTAAGTTCCACGCCACTTACTGGCCCATGAGCAAATATATTTTTAAATATATTAGTAATTTTTATGTCTTCTGTGAGTCACCTATTTGTAGCCTAGGTCTTTTTATTTTATTGTTTGTCTTTCTAGTGATTTTTACTGTTTTTATTGCCAGAGGTCACTTATGCTCACCAAAGAGATAGTTATAAGAAGACAGAGAGAGGGGATCAGCAGGTGGCATGGTAGTTAAGGCGCTGGATACTCCCACAAGGCCGACCATGGTTCGAGTCCCGGACCTGGTGACTTGCTTTCTCACTTCAATTCTCTCTCTGTGTTTGTGTCTCTCTCTGGTCAAATTAAAATAAGTGAATAAATAAAATTAAATAAATAATTTTTTAAAATAAAAGAGAGAGAGAGAGAAAGCATGAACCCACAATGGGGCATGGTCACACCACAGTAGTTAAGGCATGGGTGGTGACAATGGAAATAGCAAGGAGAGATGTCTGTAAGGCAGTTTGGGACCTTGGGCAGTTTGAACCCACACAGAGGAAGAGGCTGACAGCAGTTATTGAAATCCATCCAGCCCAGTCATGGTCAGAGCAGATTGTCCTAGAATAGTTAGGAGGTGATGGAGGAAAAAAAAAAAAAAAGAACAAAACAAAATTTGGACATTCTCAGCACTGAATGCTGATTGTCACCACTTCTCAATGTCACCTTGTCTCCATCCGTAAGGTGTAAGGTCTCTGTTAACTCTCTCCCCGAGGATCAGGGATGTCTGTGTCCTGTTGGAGGAGTAAGCCAGCTGTTAAAGTTTGGATTTTTCCTTTAGTGAAGACAATACGATCCCATTCTACCTCCCACAGTTCTTCACAGTGTACAAACCAAAAACAAAAAAAAAGAGCCCTTTTTTTTTCATTATTATGTTAACCTTGTGACAAAGGCAGATAAGGACCAATATAATTATCCCCGTTTTACAGATGAAGGAGCTGAGGTTCAGGGACTTCAAAATTTGAAGACGGTCACCTAGATAATAAATCCTGGAGATCAGAGACAGGTATCCTTGATTCCAAGTGTAGTGCTCTTTCCGTTATATTCTGGGGACTTCTTTTCCAGCCATGTGCACATCACAATATCTGTTGTGGTTAAAACTGTCTCCTTCAATGTTGCAAGGGCAGGTCTTCCATGGATTTTATTTGCATCTGGCAAAACAGTAAATGTTAGTGTCTAAGGCTGTTCTGTTGCTGTAATAGAACACCTGAGCATTGATAATTTATAAAGAAAAGAGGTTTATTTAGCTCACAGTTCTACAGGCTGGGAAGTCCAAGACTGGGCAACTGCAGCTTGTCAGCTTCTGGTGAAGACCTTGTGCTGTGCAGAATGTGGCAGAGAGTGCCAATCACAGTAGAAGCACAAGATCTTGCATAGAGAAGATTGTGAGTCAGGGCGTGCATGCACATGCTCGTAATCCTGGCTGGGGACTGTAGTGTGAGACCCTGTTGAGAACCCCCAACCCCCTATACAAGAAACTTTAAAAAAAAAAAAAAGGCAGAGAAACAAAAAGGGAACTGGGTAGGTGCAAAAGGATAAAACACAAGAGATGACCTTAATTTATAACTACTCACTCTCTTGAGAACTATTCCATTCGTGAGAGAGTGAGAATCGTAGCAATCCACTCACAAGGTTGGAGCCCCCAGGACCCAAATGCCTTCCATTAGGCCCCAGCTCTTAGAAGTTCCACCTCCCAACATTGCCACATTAGCAGTCAAATTCCAATATGAGTTTTGGAAGCAACAAACTATATTCAAACTGTAGCAGTTAGTATTTTGGCTTTTTTTTTTTAAGTTTTTGTTGTAGGGCACATGTGCTTGCCGAGAGAGAAAGAGAGCAAAAGTGAGAGTGAGAGTGAGAGAGAGAAACTGACCCCCAAGGAAGGATGGCCATGCTGCAATCCCTTCTCCTCCATTCTCTTTTCAGGATTTTGGGTGTGCATGCATATGTGCCTGGCACATTTTTTCAAGTTACTGTGTCCAAGACCAAACCACGAAGTCGGCCATGTGGGATCTAGCCACCGTAACCACCATGCCACCTGGTTGGCCCTGGCTTATTTTTTTCTTTAATTTAAACTGGAAGTTAAGTTATATATCTTTATTGTTGTAGTAGCAGAAATTTAGCTAATCAGCTCTTCACACTTTTTTTTGGAGAGTTTTTTGTTTTTGTTTGTTTGTTTGTTTTTCTTCGCTATAGGGCACATGCACTCGCCAGAAAGACAAAGAGAGACAGGGAGACCGAAAACAAGGTGACTACATGGGAGTCCAGCGACACAGCCATTTCGCCATCCTCTGGTCCCTCTTCACATTTTTTTTTTTTCACTATAGGGCGCGTGCGCGCGCCAGACAGACAGAGAGAGACATAGAGACAGAAAGCGAGAAATCACCCCCCAGGGGGGA